AAAAGGTCTAATTAGCTGGTGTGTGTGTCTGCGCGCGCGCGCGCGTGTGTGTGTGTGTTTTTTTTTTAATTTATTCGTTTATAATTTCCTGTGACTCAACTATTCCGTTCGTGTTTTTAATATATATATATATATATATATATATATGTATATAGTAGTTATGTTCTTCTTTTCAATTGTGTTTTTGTACACAATTTTACATGATTTTATTCATGTAAAATTGTGTATAAGCTAGTAAACATTGCATTAGTTTGCTGCTCTATTCATTTAAATTGTGTATAAGGTAATACAAAGATTAGTCTCATGTTTTACTCATGACAAATTGTGTAGAACTTAGTCAACAGTTTAACAATGCTGCTTTTCGTATACATTGGAAATAAATTAGTTATTATTTAGTAAATGGGCTGATAGTTTGTCCTGTTTTATCTATGTAAAATTGTCTATTATTTAGTAAATAATTTTAACGTGTGTGTGTGTGTGATATACTGTGCACACGCCCTTATGTGTGTGTGTGTGTGTGATATACTGTGCACACGCCCTTATATATATATGTGTGTGTGTGTGTGTGTGTGTGTGTGTGTGTGTGTGTGTGTGTGTGTGTGTGTGATGTACTGTGAAACCTTGCTTAACAATCATAATTCGTTTCAGAATCATACTCGTTAAGCGAAACACTCGTTATGCGAAACAATTTTTCTCATATAAATTAATGTAAAATACGATAAAGCGTTCTATGTCGAAAAAAATGCAATTATAACGCTATTCAAAGAAAATTATATATAAATTGTTAAGGAGAGTGAATCATCTTCATCTTTTCTTCAAACGCGGAACGAACCCACCTGGAATACGAATTCGATTTGCAGGGGAAAAAAAGTCGCAATAATTATGATATATAGCTAATTATTTTTTTTACTTGAAAGATGTCCAGACATTTGCTTTTGCCGACGCTTCAAAATTTGGCGAAAATGCGACACAACATTATCATTAAATAAATCTGCAGCACGCATAGCCACTTCCTTAATAGGGTGATGTTTCTCAATGTAAGATGCAACAGTTTCCCATGCTTTCAGCATTTCTCTTATTTCGCCAGAAAATTGTTGCTTTTCTGTTACCTCCTCCTCCTGTGACAAACTTTCCTTCAAAACTTATTGTTGTGAAACACAATGCAACTCCATAAGCTCTTCGGTGGTCAGTTCTTGGCTGTGCTCTTCCACAAGCTCTTCAATATCACTGTTATCCACCTACAATTATATTATAGTGGTCAAAGACACAACCTCGTTGACTATAGGTTCCATCGGTACTGTCTCGAACTCCTCAAAGTCACAAATCGACAACGTTCTCCGGCCAAAGCTTCTTCCAAGCAGAAGTTAGGGTTCTCTTGGTAACCCCTTCCCCAGCCTTGTCGATCCTCTTGAGGCAGGCAACGATGGGGAAGTGATTTTTCAAAACTCTTTGAGAGTGAGCTTGGTACCCTCAGTCACCTGAAAACAATGCTCAAAGAGTGCTTTAGTGTAGAGCTTCTTGAAATTAGAAATAACTTGCTGGTCAATGGGCTGGAGTAACGTAGTGGTGTTGGGAGGCAGAAACTGGATCTTGATGAACTTAAATTCTCCAGAGAGGTCATCTTGTAGGCCTGGAGGATTCATGTACATATAACACAATGTAACACAAGTTTGAGAAAAAGTGTGATCACAAGCGACACTACGATGCTACTGGAACGAGTGCTAAACACAGACTGATGTAACATGCACACAATCGGGGACTTCCTCTCTCCTCACCACTCGTTATGCGAAACGTCGCTCGTTAAGCAAGTCATTATTTTACAATTCGTTTTGCTCGTTATGCGAATTACTCGTTATGAGAGGTGCTCGTTAAGCGAGGTTCAACTGTATTCTTCGACGTGTGTTCTTTTGCCCATGAGTTGCGACCACTTGTGGGCCGCGGAAAAGTTCATCACAAACAAATTCTGCTAAATCATGTCACGAGGTGGTCGGGTGGGTGGTTTCTCTCTTCCAGTCTGTAGGATTAACATCCCAACAAATTCATCTTTGTGTGAAAAGATTTTCTTTGGCATGTCGCATTACCTGAAAATTGCAATTTTAAAGGTCGCGTGTATTCTTGCGCACGTAATATAATGCCTTGGCAGTTGGAAATCATAAAGAGTAGCATGTCGGCGCTGCCCGGGCTAAATCTTATTTGTGAAGTATTATCTGATTTGTATGTGCTGATGAAGGCTTCATAGCCGCAACGTTCACGTTTTGTTTGTGTTTATTATTTTGCGAAGCTTGCTGATTACTTTTCTTTCGGTTTTATATCTTTTCTTGGTACGTAGTTCGTGCACTGCGCTGAGATTCTTCAGACTTATGTTTGAGTTAGAAGAAGAACGGAGACCATAAACTAATGGATATATATGTCTGTCTTTATTTCGCGTTCGGTTAGCTCTCAGGTGGGCCGTGAAACAATTTCCACTGTTTTTGTGTGGCCACGGGTGTAAACAGTTTGAGGAACCCTGATTTAGACATCATCGTAATAGTTTCGTATCTTTCATCATGCTTCGCCTGCCTATAATTTAGTGAAGATTAGAGTGTATTATTCGGTTCATGTACGGCAGTCTATGGCAGTTACTGTACAACATTGGGTAGTAGTACAAGGGTTCCCAATTAGCTAGGACATGGAGACCCCTTTTATTTTAGGTGTACCAGAAACCTGGTAGATTTTACATTGTCATCCTGGAGAATACCAACTTAACGTTAGTAGGTTGTGAGCCTGTGCTCCATTGAGAGATAGTAAGCAGAAGAAGAAGATTAGAGACTTTATAATTTATAACAGTTAAAATATAAAAAAAAATTTCATTCTAAAGTTGAAGGATCTCTCTCTCTCCTCTCTCTCTCTCTCTCTCTCTCTCTCTCTCTCTCTCTCTCTCTCTCTCTCTCTCTCTCTCTCTCTCTCTTTCTCTCTCTCTGTGTATGTGTGTGTGTGGGTGTGGTTAATGTGTAAACAATATCATTATTATCATCGGTCAGCATGCCCTTTATAAAAAGTCGCTCTCCTCATGGCACTCCTAAAAGTTGCTCAAGCCCAGTGGTTCTCAAACTTCCTAATGCCGTGACCCTTTAAAACAGCTCCTCCTTTTGTGGCGACCTCCAAACATACAAATATTTTCGTTGCTACTTTAGTGAATATATGTTTTCCGATGGTCTTTCGCGACCCCTGTTAGACGGTCGCTCAACCACACACAAACAAAGGGTTGAGAACCGTTGCTTCAGCCCATTATCCAGCGCTAGTCTCTTATGACAGTCCTCACTAATCACTAATAATCTTATCCTTACTGTAACAAAATCACAGACAAGGAATACGAATACATACTGACTTTGTTTGAAATCAGAACTAGCTCATAGACAATATCATTTCTGTAATGAGTGACCAGATCTGGCCGACGTTCGACTCTAATGGGAGGGTGGAGACGGATATAAAATAGGACTGTTACTGGTACCATGGGAATGGAACTTTGCGCTTGCTGCTGAAGATGGGGACTGAGTACTTATGTTGATTCGTAACTCATAACTCCCCCGTCTGGATTCCATAGCCCCAGTTTGGAGGTGGGTGACGGGGAGAGTAGACCAATTAATGCCTCCTAAACAAGCATATCGTAACAGTCGACTATTTAGGGTTTTTCCTTTGAAGTCGGAATGTATCTGCATGAGAGGCAAAGAACCAACCGTTTGCAAACAAATAAGACAGGTGTATATATCAAATGTGCACGCAAAACTAAAGTTCACAAATAATACTACAGCTCAAAAGTGGACGAACAACCAGAACCTTTCGCTAGAGATTATAGCCGATGAACGTAAAGTAGAAGAAGAGGAAGAAGAAGAAGAACTCAAGATTCAGTATCGTTTCTTGGAAACTGGCATACTTTAGTCATTTTAAACACCATAACGGGTTGGAAACAAAAGTGATTGAGTGTGTGGTTTTGGAGGAAGTGGCAGCGGTGGATCAGCACAGTGTAGACACGGGATATCTCTTGGTATGACAGTTTACCACAGAGAACCGGATGGCTGTCCAGGGTACTTTGAGGAGAGCAGCATTCCTGGGGGAGGGGTAGGGGTGGGGCTGCTACACGATCATAACATAATCTCATATATTTCACCTTTTGACCCTCAGTCGTACTGAGAAATAGTATTCCTAGTATAATAAAACTATCTTTCTGCACGTGAACCGGATGAGATTATAGGCGCAGTGTAACTTAGATTGAGCCTCCACTTCATCCCAAGTCAGTTAAAAAGGGGGGGGGGGGGGCTGTTCACGTTTTCCAGCCCATTTAGACACTTTCTCAATCTGATCTAGGTCAGAGGGGTGTCACATTGTACTACTTTCTTCGAAAAGAGTCTCTCGTGTGACCTAGGTTAAGGCTGTGGGTAGTGGGTATCCGGGTTAGGCACAGTTCTACATGTTAAAAGCTGTGTCGTCTTGTAGGATTAGGTTCACGTTAATCTCCCCAAATAGTCTTTTCATTCACAAGTTTGTTGGGCTGGTCGACTTACCTAAAGGTTATGGGTGTGGCCCGCTTTGTTGTTTGTTTTTCTGTGATGTCTTGCATTACCGTTTTTATTCGAAAAAAAAAGAATGCCTGTGACATAGGTTGCAACACTTTCTGGGGAAGGGGGATGCAAAGGGGGGAGGGGAAGGGGGAGGGGGGGGGGCGCTGGCGTGCTGAAATATACAACATGTGATATCAACGGCGTTGCGGAACACCTCCGTAACAGTGTGGGAAGGTGACAGGTTCAGGAACTACGAATCAGAAGTGAGCTAGTGTGTGTAAGGGCGGGGCATGGTAAAATCAACGTTACTTTTACCCCTTTACCGTCGTGTAGTATAGAACACGCGACATCGGCGTTGACGTAATTGGAGGCAAGGTGACGTAACACCCCTCCGTCGAAAACAAGTCTGAGAAAGTAATAAATAAATAAAAGGTCAGGTAGTGTGCAGATGGGGCAGGAAACATGAACAGGACCGAAAAGGGACACTACGCTGAGATTGACACAGTAACATTTGTGAGGGGACAGACCCACCTCTGCCTACCCCCACCCCGATTTCCCCCCCCCCCCCACCAATGTTTACAAGTTCGGCAACTGTGGTTTAGGAGTTGCGAACGCGCTTCATAGTGCCGGGGTGTTTTATCCCATCTGCAGGCGATTTGACAGTGTTGTTTTGACAGTGGCATCGAGATCCGACAGTTTAGGCAGTGGAAAACTACTGAACGTAAAAGTGGAAAAAATCGGCCAGATACTGAACTGTAGTAAAAGCAATCCTGGAGAAATTTGTTGATACGCAAATATATACTATACTGAATAATTGCGCACTTAAACAAGACGAAAGCCCTATGACGTCTCCCCTCTTCCATACTGGTTGTCGCTGAGAATCTGACTGTATTTTGTATTTAGTGGGCGCCCCTGACTGGGATAAATATAAAACAGCTTTACCGAACTTTGTGGTGGAATTTCTTAGGAAACTTTAAAAAAGCCTTCAAAGGATCGAAACTAAAAATATATAAATGACCGTATTTCGAAGAATAATAATTCATCAGTGTGTGTTATGCATGCCTCAATGATTTTTATTGCAAATGTGTTGTAAATGCCTGCCCTATAAAAACTAGACCAAGCATGAAAGTCTATAAAAGTGGTGTTAAAGTGTGCTAAATGTGTTTTGACAAGTAAATTATATGGTATATGACAGGACATTTAGAATAGTCAAGAATATTTGAGGGTAATCGAGTACATTAGAAAACAGAAAGATATTTAAGGGTGATCGAGTACATAAGATAACATAGAATTTAACTAACAATAAATAATTGATAGAGGAACCAAATCTCTTCTTCTTCTTCTTCTTCTTCTTCTTCTTCTTCTTCTTCTTCTTCTTCTTCTTCTTCTTCTTCTTCTTCTTCTTCTTCTTCTTCTTCTTCTTCTTCTTCTTCTTCTTTGTGTTCACCGGCTTTAAACTTCGTAGGAAAAGTGTGGTTGTTCGTCCACTTCTCGACTTTGTCTTGTTTTAGAACTTGAGTTTTGGGTGAACATCCATCCCCCCTCCCAAGGTCTGGCAAATTTGTTTGCAGAATGTTGGTCCCTCGCCTCTCAGGCAGAAGCACTCTTCAAAGAAAACATCCTCGTTGGTTGCCTTGTACGACAAGCTTGCTAAAAAGGTCATACATTTCTTCTAGTGTTTGTTTTTAAAAACATATAACTTTCATTCCATTAAGATACTGGAAATTTAGCATTGTTTATTTCTGTTTCAGAATTATTCCTCGCGCGCCATGCCTGCCAATAGCCCTAACAACATGTCCAGCCAATCGTCCAATCACAGTCAGTCGGGAGATCCACTGAGCCGGACAAACTTGTATATCCGGGGACTGAATCCTAACACCACAGACAAAGACCTGGTCAATTTATGTAACTCGTAAGTAGTCAATTTGTTTGCGTAACTAACCCGCTAAAACTACCTATCGTTGACATTTTATCCTATAAAGACAAGTTATACCTAGTTCAATATTTCAAAAATGCAACAAAATCACTATGTGCCGTCTTCATCGTTAATGAAGAATTGACATTCCTGCACTTGGGACATTCCCACGTAATGCTCTGTTGTCCTCCTCAGCAGCCAACGAGGAGTTTCCATACTGACGTTGCCAGTGGCAACTGAGTTAAAATGTTTCCCCCGCGTCTTGAAAATCACAAGACCATCTACTCACTCCTTTAAATTAGCTTCTTAAGGTGTGGATAGGTTGTTCAATTGCACTATCAACTTGATCACAGTGAGCATACACCACCTCCACTTGATCAAACTAGCTCGCCGCCCAGACTCTTGGCAGCATCCAGTCTTTTAGCCTGCTCATAACCCCAACCCCGACAGAAAATCCACGATGTGCTTGCTCCTGGTCTAAATCTTGTCAAACAGTGCAAGATACTCAGCGAGTGGTGCCCACGTTTTTTATTTATCTGATGACGGCTAGGATAAGAGTTCCCTCTAAACTGGATTCTTTTATGTCCTGGTAGTACACTCAGATATCTTTCTCTCGTGAGTTTAGCCGCCGAGTTTTTGTTTGTTGTTGTTGTCTGACTCTTGCTTGCTTGCCTTTAACTTTTGCTTCCAGCAGTAAAAGAACTATCATGTCTTCTTATGTGGCCAAAACATTTAACATTTCTTTCCCTCTCTCTCTTTCCGTCCCTTCCCCCTCTCTCTTTCTCTCTCTTTCTCCTTCTCTCGTTAATTGTGAGTGTGTGTGTGTGTGTGTGTTTGTGTTCTTTCAACAGTTTTCTTTTCATCTTCTATCCAGGCAATTCGTATGTCCATGAAATACGACATTTTCGTTTGTTTAAACCAGTACTGTTCATTTTTTTTTTTTTTTTATATTTATGTATCTATTATTTTATAATTTAATGCGACTGTCGTTTGTATGTTATAACAGACGTGCTAAATCCCTCCGTCTGGCTTTCGATCTCAACGATAGCTTGTATTTGAGTAGGGCTATATTACGAGCTTTCTGGAAAATCATGTTAGGCTTTATTTTCGGAGAAACACGTTTTTATCGTAGATTCCCCGTGTGGGTTCTTGGAACTCATTGGGTGGAAAACAAGAATAGACCCACTGCCTTCCCTGCAAGCATGTCGTAAGAGATGAATAATTGCAGGTTTTCTTCGAAGTCGAAGTGCATCTGCCTGAGAGGCAAGGAACCAACAATACGCACACAAGTAAGTCAAATCTTTTAAACCAATGTGCACGGAAAACTCCTGTTCTGGACTAATGCCTAGATGTGGACAAACAACCAGAACTTCCCACCGGAGTTTACAGCTGGTGAACGCGAAGAAGAGGAAGATTATCGTAGATTTATTTGACAAGCTGGTTCCTAAATTACTTGATAAAAAATTATATGTAGATAGGCGTGAATGGAACCCTCGCTTATCTGAGTTTCTTGAAAACTACATACAACGTCAGATTCATAGAGTAAGCTATTTCGAGTTTTTAAAAAAAAGTATAGATCCCTTTTCATGCCTTTAGGCGCACCGGGCATATGAGAAGAGCACCCATATTATTACAGACCAGTCGGCACTAGCTGGGTAATGCGGTCAGCATTACGCCGGCCGTCTTTACTTCCCCAGGAAATTCATCCTGGTACCCATTTTAGGCTGGGTCGACCTGCGACGCCCCATACCATGATACAAATCCACACAGCCGGCAGTGAGTTTCGATCGCGGTACGTTCGAATTACGAGTCGGATTCGCAACGGCTAAGCTACGGACGCCGCTAGTAAGCTTTTTAGCTCCCTTTAAAAATATTTCCGTGTTTAAGGCGAAATTTTTTATGTTCCTAAAACTATACAAATGTGTGTACATAAAACGTTCACAGTTGTTGTGAGTTTCGCAGATCTTGTTTTTTGAATACTAAAGTCTGGGGCCCGCTATTTGGAGCCCGAGTTGGGTCGGTGTTTACTCACATTTAAAGCTGTTGAATCGAGTTTATTGTCCATTAAATTGACTTTAATAGTTAATAGTTTAGAGTTTAAATTTTCTTTAAACGACCCAGTTAAAAACGTTGTGTTGATGACCTTGAAGGAGAAGACGGTTGATTGTATACTTTCTCCTTGCTTGAACAATTTCAACGCAACTAAAATTGTATATGGCCCGGCCTTTTACTGTGGCATTCTTCACTTTTCTATTTCTATTGTTCCAGATCTCTATGGGTGGGTCCTAGAATCTCTGTTTTCGGGAAGGGGGGGGGGGGGGGTAAGATGTAGAATTGACCCACTGCACATGAACACGCATTTTGTAGGGGGTGACTTACTAGTGGTTTGACGAATTCGAATGATGAGCCAAAAGGCGCAGATATCACAGGTTAGCAGTAAACCACAACACGAGACGGCCACTATTTTTAAGAAAGATTGAAGATCTACTTTTTCTTCTAGGTTCATCCTTTAAACTCTTTCGGTCCCAAACAACGCGCCATAGGTACTGGATATTACTCATGTGTACCGGTCAACATGTTTTAAATATGTTTTCCGCCGGGCTCTCTAGCGTAATTGGCTAAACCGGATTGCGCGGAGACCGGGTGACGAACACCTTGTGATCCGGGTTCAATCCCGGTGGTAGGCAGGAAAGCCACATTTTCTCCCAGATTTACGGTATTTACAATGGAATCAAGGCCGAAAGGTTGCGATATCCATTATACCGAGCCTAAGGGTTAACAACTCATGGCTTCTGGATACTAAAACAAAACAAAAATATGTTTCCCTCTACCTTTATATGTACATATGAATACTAGTCAGGCAAACTAAATCAACCCAGCAACACAATTCACCCACAATGTATTGTGTATCTGGACCCTGTGGATGCAGTAAAGTCCAGAAGTGGACACAAAAAAAAAAAAAAACAAGAACTTTCTGCTGAAGTTTGCAACTGGCGAACATAAATAAGGAGGAACTCTCTAACCACTTTTACCTCCATTAGCCTTTACACAACAACTATTGACGAAGGAAGCAAATCCAACCTCTTTTATAATTTTGTGATTTTGAATCAGAATAATTGCTTGCATGTTATTCACAAAAGAAGTTATTATTATTCACTATCATTTCACAATCTAATTTTAAATTTAATCAGCTATCCCGTTCTAGATTCTGACAGTGTATTTTTCATTTAATCCCTGCTGATCTAATGAGATTACGCAATAATCGGTGGCAATATATTATATTTACAAGCAGTCTAAATATATCCCGACAACGATAATTGAAAATTATAATATACATAGCTCGTGTAAGTAAAATATTGTATAGCATAGAACAGTGTTCATCAACCATTTTACGTTCACGGCTCATCAGGTCGGAAACTCGCATCTCGACCTGTTTAACAGAATAATAACCAGAAACAAAAGCAAATGTAAATGGCAGTTTATCAGATATCACAAAAGTTACAATTTTCAGATGATATGGCATCTTCTACTGCTTAGAGGTTAGACAGTTCGATACAAATGGCTGAAGCGGTAATTCTAATAGAAGTAGCGCTGCAATAAAGTCTTTTCACACAACGAGAAAGTAAGGGGGAAAATACACGACAGACTATTCCATAGTTTAATAATTCAGACATGAATATTATTTTTTCCAGTGATGTCCAAAACATTTAAATCTAAACACAAGAAAGACATCATAAGACAACTCAATCGGTTTTGTTTTTTATGAGAATCGAAGTTCTTGGTTCTTGAATCAAATTAACTCAACTCAACTCAGCTCAGCTCAGCTCAACTTAACTCAACTCAACTGACATCTTTAAATGCTGACTTGTTATCTCCGATATCACTTGTGCCTCTTTGATGCTCTCTCATCTTTGAGGTGTTAACTCAACAGTAAGCAATCGGCGATGAGAAAAACTACCTATCCTATACCATGACATTATTAGGCAGGCATTTTATGTCGGCCCTCTGGACCCTTACGTGACCCACCATTGGGCCGCGACCCATGGGTTGAAGAACATTGACATAGTACTCTTTTCCTGCTTTGAGGCGGGTCGAGCATTTGGCGGGCGTACCATATTTCTATATATAAGAATTAATTACCGTCCCAATATAGTACACATTTTTTCGTAATGTTTTTTCGGGGGCCCTAATATAACCCGACCTATGAGTTGAACGGGGTTTCTGGGAACTGTCCCCGGGTGATCCTCATCCGAATGGTTGCACATTGTTTCACCGGGTGTTTATCGCTGGGTGTGATCAGTCATTTCCATAACATCATCAGCGACCGGGTCACCCATTGGCTCGCCGGTAGACGACTTCGTCGCCGGTCAGGACTAATTTGGGTCTGCCTCCTTTGATCACATCAACACAGCAGGAGTCCTTTTCAGAGCTCTTGGTGGCGTGCAATGTTAAGCCATTGCATGTGGCGCAAATAACCTAGTCACAATTATAACCCAAAGCTCCCATTTCCGGGATGCTGGTCAAACGTGACGATTTTGTTTTCTTTCAAAAGAATTGTGATGATGATGTCCTTGCACAGTTTCTGAATATTTAATACTACACAAATTTCATGACGTAGTGTGCAGTTATTTGAAAACTGGGCTGTGGACTTATCGAACCTCTATTATATGATGTTATATTTGTTTATACAGTATTTCCCGGACTGAAATATCTGAGGAAGCTATGAAGTGGGACAGACAGAACTACAAGTTCATCTTTCCCATTGCAACATAAGCCTGTGAGACCTGGAGAATTATTCAAAAAAACTGAACAGCGCAAAAATGCCTTTGAATACACATGTTATAGACGGGTTCTAAGAATATTACGAGTAAAGAAAAGAACAGATGCATCCGTTTTTCAGGAACTGAATTTTGAAGAAGGTTGGCTATTAAAGACGATAAAACACAGAAAATTGAAATATTCTGGTCACTTGAAGCGTCAAGAAAGTTTTGAGAAAACAATAATGGAGAAGTATATGCCTGGGAAGAGACAAAAAGGAAGACCCCCCAAAATATGGGTGCAGGTTGTGGAGGATGATCTCCAGATTTGTGTATCAGACGCGGGACATCTTGCTTGTGATCGAAAAGTTTTCCGGAAGGTTCTAATGGGAGCAAGGTTCTCCAAAGGATAGCCTACTGACCCACTGACTGTATTTCCCGGATAGCAGCCAAAATTAGCTCAGAGACAAACGAAAATAGCTCCGCGTAATATATATATATATATATCATCATCATCAGGTGCCTTGCCGACTGGCGTGGGCGATCATACCTCTCCATAATCTGCGATCTCCTGCAGCATGTATCAGTTCGTGTGCCGACACACCTCCATGCCATGCAACAAGATTGTCAAGCATCTTCTCTCGTTGTCTTCCTCTATCTCTCCTTGCACATATCTTTTCAGTGGTCACAACATGTTCTATTTTCCCTCTTCTCATAACATGGCCGAAAAAGGATGACTGTCTCCTTCTGATGTCTGTGATAAGTTGACTTCGGGCTCCCGCCTTTTTTTCAAAACATCTTGGTTGCTCTTTTTGGCTGTCCAAGGTATTCTAAGCTTCTTCTGTAAAACCACATCTCTGCTGCCTCCAAAAATTGTTTGGCCTGCCTACCGACTGTCCAGGATTCACAACCATATGTTAAAACTGGATTTATATATATATATATATATATATATATATATATATATATATATATATATATAATATTTTTACAGCTTTCCCCCTCTGTTTGTGTGTTTGAATAATAAGCGGCTTGCCGAATGGTTGAAAACTCTGGGCTGTTATGTGGGAGACCGAGGCTCGGTAAGGTTCTGGATTGGTAAAATCATATCATGCACAGTGCGTGGCGACAGCACCAGCTACGGCGGACTTAAAACCCTAGGCTCAAAGACCACCCTGCCTACAGTGTAAAAGTGGTAAAACAAAAGGCATTAACTGGCAATGTTTTATTGTTGTCGAAGTTTTAATAATTTCTAGACATTAGTTAGTTAGTTAGTTAGTTAGTTAGTTAGTTAGCTAGTTAGCTAGTTAGCTAGTTAGTTAGTTAGTTAGTTAGTTAGTTAGTTAGTTAGTTAGTTAGTTATTTAGTTAGCTAGTTAGCTAGTTAGTTAGTTAGTTAGTTAGTTAGTTAGTTAGCTAGTTAGCTAGTTAGTTAGTTAGCTAGTTAGTTAGTTAGTTAGTTAGTTAGTTAGTTAGTTAGTTAGTTAGTTAGTTAGTTAGTTAGTTAGTTAGTTAGTTAGTTAGTTAGTTAGTTAGTTAGTTAGTTAGTTAGTTAGTTAGTTAGTTAGTTAGTTAGCTAGTTAGCTAGTTAGTTAGTTAGCTAGTTAGCTAGTTAGTTAGTTAGCTAGTTAGCTAGTTAGTTAGTTAGTTAGTTAGTTAGTTAGCTAGCTAGCTAGTTAGCTAGTTAGCTAGTTAGCTAGTTAGCTAGTTAGTTAGTTAGTTAGTTAGTTAGTTAGTTAGTTAGTTAGTTAGTTAGCTAGTTAATTAGTTACTTAGATAATCGAAATATTATCCTCATTGCACATCGGACACGCCCATAATCGCCCAGATCTCATCTTCAGCATCTCCTTAAGCGTTTGGCGACTGATAACACCAGCTATATATTGGTTTACTATTCTTCTTTGGCTACCTGTACTGTATAGTGTTCATGTTTGGCGACACCTCTTTTGACCTGAAGTTCTTGCAGTCTTTCGAGTGTTGCCGATTCAGCGTCCTCTCTTGAATCGTCTTCTCCTCCTGCCTCCTTGAGAGCATTGAGATTGTCGGCTAGTTGTAACATAAGTACAGTAAAAAGACAAACACTCGATTCAAATTAACAAAATTGTGGCTCCATCGGGGATTATTATTTATAGCACATCTATTAGTCCCCAGTTAGGACGAATTTTTTAAACACGAACTCTTGATTTTTCGGCCCCTTGGAGTTCATATTCAAGGGGTTTTTCTGTAGTTCCTTACACTTTAAAAACTAAATCACAATGGAATATAATACTCACAATTAGAGGGGGAAACTATACAATATAGTTGTATAGTTGTTATTATTTTAAGCAGGTTAAGCCGCTAGTTTCCATCCGATTTCGGCTTCTGTCGGTCGGCTTAGGAGTGTTCATGTTTTGATGATACCTGGATGCCGTCGCTGGAGCTACGGAGATTTGTGTTTCGTTTGACAAAAGTGAACAGTGGCTCTGCGGAAAGATACCAAGGTCTATGTGATCAGTATCATACATATCACTTCCCTGTATGGTTTTTTGATGCCACAGTGGGGTAGGGGTGTGGGGATAGAATAGACCCACTGCCACTCTAACAAATTAGGGGTTTATTTCGAAGTCGGATTGTATCTACCTGAAAGGAAAGGAACCAACAGTCTGCATATACATAAGCCAGATCTGTAAAACGGATCTGCTTGCAAAAGTCAAGTTCTGGGACGACTGAAGTGTAGAATTGAACAAACAACCTGGACTTTTCGCTTGAGATTACAGCCGGTGAACGCGAAGAAAAAGCAAAAAGAAGCAAGAAGAAGCAAAAAGAAGCAAGAAGAAGAAGAAGAAGAAGAAGAAGAAGAAGAAGAAGAAGAAGAAGAAGAAGAAGAAGAAGAAGAAGAAGAAAAAGAAGTAAAAGAAGAAGAAGAAGATAACGATCATTGTGTGGATTGTTCTTTTTAATATTATTATTTTTATTATAATTATAACGATACCTGCGTTGATGGTGATTGTAACGATAAATTGCGTTGATTTTGATTATTATTATGAAAAACGAATGAGCTGTTTCCACTGTAGATGTTGGCTACGAACATCTACTGCTGACTTTGTGGATATTACGCGGTAAGGTCCTACTGTCTCCCGCCGTGCGATTCTCGTTTCATTGTCAGAAATTCAGAAACAATTTTACTATAAATCGCATTCATCGGAAATAAAATCACAGTACGTCAAAGATTATAAAAATGCGTTCACTAACATCTAAGCCCGGAGCTGCAGGTTTAGCCCGGAGCTGCAGGAAATGAACATTTCACTAAGGGGACAAGACGTTTCATTAAACAACATGGAACAGGCGTCATCAGTCGTTTTACACTTGTAGAGCTTTTGAGGAAGAGATCTGAGCGCCTATGAATCTGTCCGGAGTGCTGTGGTTATAATTCTTACTAATCACCAAAAGCCAGAACTTTTTGTATTTAATTATAGTTTTTTTTTTTTCCTCAGCGTAATTTAGCTCACTATAGTTTATAATTCTCAATTACAATGTTTTCTTTTTATTTCAGATTTGGAAAAATAACATCAACTAAAGCCATCATAGATCAAACAACCAACAAATGTAAAGGTAAGAATTCAATTCTTTTGTCTGTTTCTCCTTTCTTTCTTTCTTTCTTTCTTTCTTTCTTTCTTTCTTTCTTTCTTTCTTTCTTTCTTTCTTTCTTTCTTTCTTTCTTTCTTTCTTTCTTTCTTTCTTTCTTTCTTTCTTTCTTTCTTTCTTTCTTTCTTTCTTTCGTTCTTTCTTTCTTTCGTTCTTTCGTTCTTTCGTTCTTTCTTTCGTTCTTTCTTTCTTTCTTTCTTTCTTTCTTTCTTTCTTTCTTTCTTTCTTTCTTTCTTTCTTTCTCCAACCCATTTTTTTTTTTTCCTTTCTATTCTCGATGTCTTTCCTTTTCTATTGAATTTAGTATTTAAAGAATTGTCCCTCTAACGCGTTAAATAATTAAAACCACCATCATTGAGCTAAACAGGTAGTGACGGTTTAACGTTTTCGGTACCAGAAGATTTGGTCGTAGATCCGTAAGTGGGATAAAAATCATTTATGATAGACAAGAGAATAAACACGGCAGAGTGGTCATTTGTGTAGCCAGATTTCCGAAGTATGGTTTGACCAAATGCAGAACTCACAAGAATCATCCCAGCAGACAGTATTCCCTTCTGTTCACTTCGTATACAGCACCATTTGATTCGGTCTCAACCTGCAAGGTTCAATATTAGTTATGTGCCATACCAAACATTATTGGTAGACAACAAATCAAATGGTTTGGTCATGTAACAAGATTGGCAGCAGATACAGCACCACAGAGGGCAATGGTGTAAAGATACAGCGGTAACAGAGTCAGAGGTCGAGCATACAGAATATAGACGCAGAAATATTGGAGACACTGTAAAGTACTATATACGAAGCGAACAGAAAGGCCCGTTCTAGAGATCTCTTCCTGTCATGACGCCGCGAGGAATTCCACGAGTAGAGAAAAAAAAAAAAAAAGACAGAAATCGTTTAATGGCACTGCAAGAGTTACCATGTGTACGATACGGTGGTTCTAGGTGTCATTGACCGTGGAGGCACAATGTAAACATTCATTTGGGCTCTCAGGTCGTTGTCACGGCCTTAAATGAGTGTGCAGGACATGTCTGGGAAGAAATGCTGAATCACGGAGAACGACTAAAATAATTATGAAAACATTGAAACATTAATTAAAAACAAACATTGGTTCAAATGTCCTACTCAGAGGTAAAGGAGATGAAAAAAAAGAAGAAAAAGAAGAAGAAGAAGAGGAAAAAGAAACGAGGAGGAGAATGTGCATGAAGGAGAAGTAGAAGAAGAAGATGATGAAGATGTTGTAGTAGCAATTGTAACAGTAGCAGCAGCAGCATCAGCAGCAGTTGTAGTAATATGTGGCAGCAACAGCATTAGCAGTAGTAGTAGTAGTAGTAATTGTAGCAGTAGCAGCAGCATCAGCAGCAGCAGTAATAGTTGTAGCAGTAGCAGCAGCATCAGTAGTAGTAGTAGTAGTAGTAGTAGTAGTAGTAGTAGTAGTAGTAGTAGTAGTAGTAGTAGTAGTAGTAGTAGTAGTAGTAGTGTTTGTAGCAGTAGCAGCAGTAGTTTATACACAACTCCTCATACAATATGCCAACACTATCACACATATAGTCAGTACATGCTCTATATACTCTGGAGATAATATACATGATTAATAACATTCGCTGACTCACTGAATCCTGTAGTCAGATATTATTGTCTGCGTCAGTTATACAGCAGACACCTGATTCAAGTATGTGTTAGCATAAAGCAAACTGCCCAATATGTAGGCAGATCTAAACGAGCGACTGGTTTAATAAAAGGAAGAATCGAATTTTCGGTCAAGCGTTTACTTTTATGTTTGTGAATATGGCCTTTTTTGGCTTTTATTTGACTTCACCAAGCCACACTTCTTTCATAATATGACTTTCTTTATCGATATGCATAGTTTATGTTGGATCTATACTTATAGCTAATTAAAACTTGAAGTCCATTCGATTAGTGTCCTAGATGTAGTTTATAAAACATTACTCATATATATATAATCAGCATGACGATGGATGTGATGGCATTGACGCAAGCGTTTGCCTGGCTTGGAACACGAAAAATACACCCGCGTGTGTATACTCAGTGATTCAATAAGTATGATTCGGAGGGTTCAGGCAGGTTCAGTGCGAAGAGAATGGCTTGAATCATTACAGAAGTCCACTGTGCATGGAGTCACCTTTATGTTTGTTCCGGGATACGCAAGCGTCGATGGAAATGAAAGAGCTGACAGGTTGGCTGGATCCGCTATCACTACCGACGGTCAGCCTATGGATCATGCTAATATTATTAATGCCCTCAGAGAAATGGGAATGATAGAGGACTTTGGGGGCAGTGAATCCACATCACTCGCCAGAATGGCAGACTTAGGAATTAAGATCGGTAAAGCAAAAAACGAGACGCACACCAGACACGCCAGAAGATTTGTTAATCAACATAGAACTGGTACTATAAGCCATCGGACGTTGGGGTTCATACTGAGGGGAGGATCTGAGCACCTATGGACATGTCCGTAGTGCAATGATGATAACCCAACTAACTAACTAATATATATATCATCATCATATAGCATGTCCTTTAAATAACGTCGCTGTCAACATGGTCTGGCTGAAAGAAACTCGATCTCTCGCCAGCTCTCCCGCCTCCTGTACTTTCAAATTCAAGGAATCACTCATTCCTTGTGCCATCTTCATGGTGGTCGGCCCCTGTCCCTTCTTCCTGGCACCATGCCTTCTGCTGTTATTTTTCCAATCCGCCATGGCGCTTTATATGACCACAATTCATCATCATAAGAGACGCTGTTTATTAGCCAATCTTCCTTGATGTTCAGATCTTTCAAGATGTCAGTATTCCTTCTCTTCTGTGTCCATGCTATTCTGAGAATCTTTCTATAGCATTTTAGCTCCAAAGCCATTATTTTCTTTCTTAAGGACTGGGAGTCCACGACTCACATCCGTATATTATTACAGGGAAGATGCATGCCCTCAAAATTTTAATTTTGATTTCCTTATTGATGCTTAACCATGGACTTTTAATGTTGTTTAATCTTTGCATTGCTGTGGCCATCCTCCTTTTGATTTCTGTCACAGTCCGCATTGTTATTTATTTTAGAGCCTAGAAAAAAAAGGGGATGGGGGCGTGTCAGCCAGTTTTGCATGTGGACATTATTTTCGTTTTCTTTATATTCAAAAATAAGTTTTGATCTTCACTGTGTTTTTGGACAGAAGTGATTAAATTTTCAATTCCCTTCACATTGTTCGAAAGGAGGACGGTGACATCTGCGTAGCAAAGTCTGGAATAGGTTTGCTACCAAAAATGAGCGGTTCATAACTGTCTTAAGTCTGGTCATTTTGGACATTTCGCATTAACTTTTCTGCATATAGATTGAATATGAATGGTGAGATAATGCACCTCTGCCTTACTCCCTTTTGCACCTTGAACCAATCAGATGTTTCATCAGCTGCTCTTATGGCTGCTTGTTGTTCATGATATAGATCTTCAAATAAGCCCACACACACACACACACACACACACACACACACACACACACACACACAAACGCCCTGGAAACCCCATACTTCTCAGAAGACTCGACAATTTCTGATGCTGGACACAATCATATGCCTTGCTATAATCATTGAAACAAGCAAGAAGATCTGCATTTTATTTTCTACATTTTTCAAAATAATTATTTTCATCTTAAAGAATAGATGCTTAGTTCCTCTACCCTGTCTGAAACCCGCTTGTGCTTTATGTAGTAGCTCAAATTGTAGTTTCCTTTTCATCCTCTTTACGAAAATTCGTAAGAGGATTTTGCTAGCATAACTTAATATTGCGATAGTACTTTAGTTGGAGCATAGTTTCAGATTTCATTTCTTTGGGAGAGGGATATAGATTGTTCTTTTCCACGCTTTGGGCCAAATGCCACTGTTCCAGATTTGCGTGCACAGCGCTTAGTAGATTCGGACAATGGCCTCGTCTCAAGTCTATTAGTTCTGCTGGTATTTCATCGCAACCTGGTGACTTTTCTTTTCTCCAGACTATGTTGTGCGGATGATGCCTTATCCAGTAAAGGCTCTGTTTCTTTGTCGTCACTTTCATAAGTTATTTCTGAATTACTTGTCAGACCCTCATACATTTTTCTGCAGTATTTTGTCCATCTTTCTAATATATCTTTGCTTTATGTTAATGTGGTACCGTTTTTTATTATTTATTACATGAAATGATTGCCGACATTCGCCTTTTAATGTTTTAATTTCGTTAAACGCGTCTCTTGTCTCTTCCTAGCACCTGTAGTTGTTCTGTTCTATTACAGGTATTCATAAAAATTTGTTGTTGTTTTTTAAATATCTTCTCCGATAGCTCTTCTGATTTCTTTCGTGTAGTCCAAAAGTGCGTGGCTTTTTGTTTCTGCCCCTACTTGTTTTAAATTTCTTCCTTCTTCTATAAGCTTGAATGTTTTTGTTTTTCTTTAATGTAAACCTGTTTCTTGTGTCGTTTTTAGGGATCATGTCTTGAGCTGTTGAGATTATGATGTTTCTTGATTTATTTGCTAACTCATAAGATGTCATATCCTCCTGTACTGCCATGAGTGCCTAAGATTTGTTTTTAACCTTATGCTATAATTATTTGGTAAACTGCCTAAATCAATTAGTATTGGCTTTGTCCCTTTCAACACTTGTTCAATTTTATTTTAAATCCTGTAACCAGAAGTTTATGATCAGTATCACAGTCAGCTCCAGTGAGCGTCTTTGCGGATGTTATACACGTTCTCCATTTTTGTTATATTGAAGTATAATCAGTTTGGTTCGTGCTATTTTCATGCGGTGAAGTCCAGGTGTAGAGCCTTCTTGTGTGTAGTTTAAATAGTGTGTTGATAATAGACATGTTTTTTCCTATACATAATTCTATCAGTCTCTCCCCTCTGTCGTTTCTATCTCCTACGCCGAACGGGCCTCTGCTTCCTCTTTCTCTATTCTCTTCCCACCTATTTTAGCGCTAAAATCCCCCAGGATGATTACGATGTCTCTTGTTTCTACCCTTTCTAACGTCTCTTCTAAACTGATGTAAACATTTTGAATATTATCTTCCTCTGATACATATGTCGTGTCGTGGCATACACTTGCATAATTATGATGGTTTTTTTTTTTCTTGACTCAAGTCTAAGACAGAATTCGGTCACTGGGGCAAACTGCAGTTTCTGCAAAGATATTAACATACTCGAGCATTAAATGCATAAGGCCCGGGAAGGTTGACCCGGGCAACAAATGCCTGCAGAAGCTCGATGTGTCGGCCGAAAGGCGTAAATATCGCAGAGTGTTGCAAACAGGCACCAGGCTTTTACATTACCGGGTAAATGCAGAAGAAGAAGGAGAAGAATAAGAAGAACATTAGGTAGCTATCAGTAATGCCAATACAAGCGGTCTGGCACTGGAACTGCAGTTCACCATCAATGAAAGCAGTAGTTAAAAACAAATCGAGATATTTTAGTTTGTGTATTTCGTTTTCAGGTTATGGTTTCGTAGACTTTGAAAACCCGCAGGCAGCAGAGTTGGCGGTGCAAGCCTTACAGAATCAGGGCATTCAGGCACAGATGGCCAAAGTAAGTTTACACCTGTGATGTGATATTCGTTTGATGTGATATTTCTGGTTGTTTCATGACATCTTCATCTTCTTCTGCTGCTGCTGCTGATGCTGCGGCTTCTTCTTCTTCTTCTTCTTCTTCTTCTTCTTCTTCTTCTTCTTCTTCTTCTTCTTCTTCTTCTTCTTCTTCTTCTTCTTCTTCTTCTTCTTCTTCTTCTTCTTCGTCGTCGTCGTTGTCGTCTTTGCGTTCACCATCTGTAAACTCAGACAGAAGGTTCTGTTTGTTCGTCCACTTGTAGAATTTAATATTGTCTCGAAACTTGAGTTCTGGCTTTTTTTATGCTAGCAGAATGTTGGTTCCTCGTATCTCCGGCAAATGCGCTTCGTCTTTAAAGAAAACACTCCTAACTAGTCGACTTTTACGACATGCTTTTTGGGGGGAAAGGGGTAGGGGGCAGTGGGTCTGTTTCCTTTTTTTTTGGGGGGGGGGGGGGGGGGGGGGGTGGGGGGGTTACCATTTATTGTGTGATTATACTGATGCTGTTATGCGATGTGTTGTTTGATGTTGTTTTGTGATGTTATGTCTGATGTTGCTGTTATATTATGTTTGATGTTGTTATGTGATGTTGTGTCTAATGTTTTAATCTGATGTTGTGTTTGATATGTCTGTGTGTTGTTGCATCTGATGTTGTGTCTGATGTTGCTATATAATTATGTGTCTGGTGTTGCTATGTGATGTTGTGTCTGGTATTGCTATGTGATGTTGTGTCTTATGTTACTTTGTGATGTTGCGTCTGTTAGTTTGTGCCGTTGTAACTGATGTTGTTATATGATATTGTGTCTGATGATGCTGTGATGTGTCTAATGTTGTGTTATGTTGCTATTAATACTATGCTGATGTTGACTGATGTTGTTCGATGTTGCCAATATTTCTGAGTGATGTTGTATCTGGTGTTGCTATGTGGTGTTGTGTCTGGTGTTGTTGTGTAGTAGTGTGCCTAACGTTGTCCGATGTTGTCAGGTGTTACTTTTTGTTGTGTGACGTTGTCGATGCTGTTGTTAATGTTGTTGTATGATGTTGAGTCTGATTTTTATCTTATATTGTATGATTTTGCAGATTGTTTTTTTTTTTAAAGTGATGTAACCGATCTAGTGGCGTGGTTTTGCTTAACTCGATCAGTATTTTAAGGACTGATGGCGGGTTTCCAAAGATGACATCTAGACATCAACAAAGATGGATGATTGGCCGTTAAGTAGCCCAAATTTTCAGAGGAAAAGGACGGTTAATGAGGCCGAATTTTCATGGTATCTGTAACAGGATGTAAATATTCAAGAAACATATTTTGTGACGGTTTCAGTTCATTGATAATAGTAAATGATACTTCATGATTTTCCTGGGTTTGAAAGGGGTAATGATTTCCTTAAAGATGCATGTCCGTGAGGGAGGGAAGAAAAGGCGAGAGAGAGAGAGAGAGAGAGAGAGAGAGAGAGAGAGAGAGAGAGAGAGAGAGAGAGAGAGAGAGAGAGAGAGATGTCTAATTATGAGATATATAAATATATATATATATATATATATATCTATGCACACGAATATGAATGTATATGTGTGTGAGTGTGTGTATGTGTCCTTCGCCATGTCCATCTTACTTATCGCACGTTTTATAATCCTTAAATAACGAAACAGGGACACATATAAACTACATACATACTCCATACGCAGGCAGACGCCAAAACAAATTGCAGAAATTAGACAGTTTGGTCTATAAAAAATAATCAGTGCTGAGATTAGTTCTGAATATCAAACGACATATCCGTGCGTGGTAGATAAATGCGACGATTATGGAAGGCACTGATAACACACGGGTGCAGATGGCCTGCCGCAAGATTGCTGTGTCCTTAATGCAGAGATGTTCTCACAGTCACCCGTCTAGCTACCCTGGTTAGATACCCCAGATGGCTAACTGAAAACCAGCAGATAGACCTGTTCAGCGTTGCAGATAAGGTCTTTGAATGATTCGGATTGCTCAGAGTAATGACCTCCCTAACTATGTTGTGGTATGATGTGGGAGGGTTTATACACGACCGGCTCCAGCTGACGAGGCGTGCTGCTGACGTCACCGGGCCGGGCTAACGATGCGTTAACGCAGCGGTTCTTAAATTGGGTGCCGAGACTTTCTTGAGTGCCGTGAGGGTATGCCAGGGGTGCCGCGGCAATAATCAAGAAAAATCAGCTAAAAATCGTGAAATAATTTTTTTAAAGGCACCTAGATGCAGGAGATCGCAGAATATGGAGAGGTATGATCGCCCGCGCCAGTCGGCAAGGCACCTGATGATGATGATGAAAGATACTTTAAAGTTGTCTTCCCCCCGCCACTGTTAAAAATAGTTTATTTCTCGTTTGAGAACCGCTGCGTTAACGCTTCGTTAGCCCGACCTGGTGACGTCAGCAGCACGGCCCGTCAGCTGGAGCCTGCCATGGTTTATACTTCTATAAATATCTGATTGTGAAATTCAAAGTTCTAAAATTAATGTAAAGGATGTCGAGATGAACCGCTCGGGTGTGGCGGCAAGACACTTGCCTGGCGATCAGAAGGTCGTGGGTTCGGGTCCTGATGGAGCTGGAATTTTTCACAATGATCTTGGCTACTCGGTCGAGCCAGGCTCAAATGTGTACCAGATACAGTCCTGGGAAGTAAAGGGCGATCCCCGTGATGTTGACCACATCACCCACTGGGTGCCGATTGGTCTATAAAATATAGGTCTAGCCCTGTGTGCTCAGTACGCCTGTAGGCATGAAAAAGGTCCTTCACTTTGCGTAGAGGATGTCCATACCCCAGTGTTCATTAACTGTCTTTGATTTTGTCAGGCACTTTTTTTTCTCTTTACGTTCAGTAGTTTTTACTTGCTTTCAGAGCAGTTCGACGTTGATACGTTTGTTAAAATCCACGCAAAGAGGTCTGTTGCCAAATATTCTGCTGTTGAAAAGATTGTGTCTGTCTGAATTATGACACTAATGTTATAACCGCTAACGAAAATATCTTGTAAACAAAGACGATCGATATGACGTTTACCATATCACTGTGGAGTACCGCTTAGGTCGTGTCTTGTTTTTGTTCGGTTTCGTATGCCTAGGTCAAAGCGTCAGGTGGGTAGCCTCTGTTTATTAAAGTTTTTACAATGGATCAACATCATGGCACACGGCTGGTAACCCATATGAGCTCCGTTCTTCTTCTAACTAAAGTCTGAGTCCGAAGAAGCTAGTACAGTGCACAGGCTCTGTAGCACCGGCGAGGATCCTGAAATACTTTGTGTAGATTCCTTATTTTGTCCGGGCAGCACCGTTAGGCTACTCTTTTTCAATTTCCAACTGCCAAAGGAATTTTTTACGTGCGTAACAATGCACACGGGCGTCCAACCTCACTACCCAGAGACCAGGAAAAATTACTAGAAGTCCACGTGAGAAAAATCCCAGCCCTCACCGGAGATTGAACCCGGTACCTCTAGCACTTGAGGCGGACACCATGCCTCGAGACCATCGCAGTCCCGGGTTGCCTCTCTGAACTCGAGAAGGTTGCAGGTCCTCCAAGGTTCCAAACGGCTGCTGTGCACACATAACTCACCAAGCCAGGTTTCTCTTTGTAGGGGTGAGTATAATGGGCAGGCCAGCGGAAATTTGCTCAGAAATGTGTCATCCCAGCTGAAATGAACACTGTAATGACTGTAGTCTTTACTTTATGCATGTGACAGTCGAGCCTGCAGTGTCCTGTTCCTGGTCGGAAAATGTTTGGTGGTATAAAAATAAGTAAGAGACCCATTTCATGTCTTAGGCTTATCAGGCATTTGTCATCATTATCATCATCATAAACCACTTCTGCCGTTAAGCGTCGTGGGGAGGAATAATTTGCGATCCAGTGCACGGTGGCTGCCACTGGCTATTGTAATGCCGTGAAGGCGTAGAGTGTCTTTAATATTGTCGATCCATGTTTTCCGCGGTCGTCCTCTTGCTCTTGTAGCTGATCTTCTGAGTTGTAGTGCTTGTGATGGTATTTGATCCTGCGGCATTCTAACAAGATGGCCAAACCCCTTAATCTGCTGTTTTTCGATGAATCTAGTACAAGGTGTCGTTCCCACAATTTGTCTGATAGTTTCATTATTCACTCGATCTCGGATGCTATCGAAAACTGGTTTGTTCGTCGAGTGTGTAATGTGAGCGTTGTTTGAGGTACGCTTTTTCTTCAAAATCCTCCATAATTCTTGAGCAATTTTCCGTGAACAAATAAATTCCCTACCGGCTTGCTGGACCTGTCGCAGGGCATTTGTGCTTGACACATATTTCTGTAGACCAGTTAACCAACGATGGGTGATGTGGTCAGCATCAGCCCGGCCACCTTTACTTTCTAAGACATTATGTGGACACATTTTAGATTTGGTCGACGTGGGAGCTAAGGTCTGTTTTTCAGCCTGGTTGCGGTGTTTAATCCTGGACTACCTGTGTGTGTCGCGGCGCTTGGGGGATATATTTGGAGGAGGGGCGGGAAGGGGAAAGAATTGACAAACTGGTCCCCAACAGGCAAGTCGTTAAAGGCGACTAACTAGAGATGTTTCCGTTGAAGTCAGAATGGTCTGCCAGAAAAGCGGGGAACCAAAGTCTGCAAACAAGTATGCCAAATCTGTAAAATTGTGAATTACAACCAAATTCCAGAAGCGAATGAACAACCGTAACCTTCCGCCAGAGTTTACAGCCGGTAAACGCGAAGCAAAAGATGATGATGATGATGATGATGATGATGATGATGATTATGATGATGATGATGATGATGATGATGATGATGATGATGAAGAAGAAGAAAAAGAAGAAGATTTAACATTTAACCGGATGTGACAAAGATCATTTACTTGATCTAGCTATATTATGAGATGCAGTAACTGATTCTTATTCTCCTTGCCCTTTCATCCTACAAATTATCGTCATGCGCCAATCTGGTATGCATAGACGGCTCCGATCCGATACCACACGAT